AACTCAAGGTTTTTCCATATGAAACCCTCTGCAAATCTCAACCCAATATTATCGGCTACATAAGAACCTAATTGGATGTTATCAAACCTCACCTAGATGGCACCCCAAAAAAAGATGATTATGTGTGATTTATCAATGTGTATGCATAAGTTGGAGGTTGAAGGTGAAGAGAAAATGCAGTAAGTGTTTATAGTTTTATCAAATTGGAATGATGTATGGATGATATATTTATAGTTGTGGAAGATTAGATGCAAAGAGGTACTTTTAAGAATTAAAAAGAATTTAAAAATTGACCCAACCAAATAGTATGTGTCGACCTAAAAATCATATGTGTTGACACATAAGTCAAAATTTAAAAGTATGTTCCGAGCTGAAAAATAAATGTGTCGGCCTAAGCATAGCAATATCAGCTTATTTTTAAAACTGCAGTGTATGTGTCAATCTGAAATTCGTATGTGTCGACACATAAAATAATAATTTCTGCAACTTCTTAGAAATTTCAGTATGTGTCGACCTATATGCATGCATGTGTCGGCCTAAGCCCTCCAAAGGCTACAGGCTTCAAAACTAAGTTGCATATGTCGACCTGAAATACGTATGTCTCGACACATGCAAGAAAAAATATGCAAAAACTTATTTTTCAAGACTTTGGTCAATTTCAAAATGGTTTTTAATGGTTCCTAAGACCCCTAATGCAAAGGAGTGCCACAAGACATAAAGATACCGTCCAATATACATAAATCCTAAGTGTTCCTAGTTTTGACATCATACAAAACATCTAATGATGAAGTTGTACTCACAGAGGCAACTTGGATCACTTACTCAAAATACTCTAATATAGTCCAAACTGCTTGGGGGAAATCCCCAGATGGAATTGTATCTTATCTCCAAAATATGCAGCACGATTTTATCCTTTTTAATAAGGAAACTTTTGGCAATATCACCAAAGAGAAGCACAACTTTGAGAAGAGACTCAGGGGTATCCAACGTTCTTTGGAGAGAATATATTCAACAAGAATAATTTATCTCTAATAGAAGCTTCAATAGGAGTAAGATGAGATCCTTGCGCAAAAGGAGATTCATTGGTATCAAAAGGATAAAGATGATTGGATTGAATTGGGAGATCAAAACACTAAATTTTTTCATACCAAGATGATAATTAGAAGGAAGAGATATAAAGTCCATGGCCTTCATCTTCCCAATGGTATTCGATGAAATAATGATGCCATTCTTAGGGAATAAGAACTAAATTTTTTTAAGGGTCTTTTCTGCCCTACATCTCCTATACCCTTCGCTAGTATGGGTGACTCAACTATGATTTTGAAACTAACTGAAGAATCTCAACACTCTTTGAATCAATAGGTGTCGAGGGAAGAATTTATTTATACGTTGAATCAAATGCACCATTTTAAGGAGCCTGGACCTGATGGATTCTAATGTTATTTTCTTTAAACAATTTTGGAATATAGTTAGAGGTGACGTTGTCCAACTTATATCAGATGCTTTTGTGACAAGTAGCTTTCACTCATCTCTTTCTAAGTCTCTTATTGCATTACTTTTAAGGTAGACTGCCCCCAAAATTTTAAGGAATCCAGGCCCATTAGTTTGTGCAACACTATTTACAAGCTTATTGCTAAGATTATGTTTAACTGGTTGCTGCCTTATCTAAATCAGATTATTGGATCCTTCAAGAGTAATTTTTTTTTTTGATAAATAGATAACTCATAATTCCATTATCTTCCAAGAAGTAATTCATTCTATGCATAAATCTATAAAGAAAAAAGATGACATGATGTTCAAATTATATCTTGAAAATGTATATGATCATGTTTGTTGGGATTTCTTAGAATTTTGTTTGAATCGAAGCGACTTTTCTCCCATTACTATAAATTTGATCATGCACCGTGTAACTAGCTCCTCTATATCTAGTCTTTGGAATGGGATACAACTACCAAATTTTGTTTCGACTAGAGGATTATGGCAAGGTGACCCTCTTTCACCCTATCTCTTTGTTATTTACATGGAGTTCTTGTCGCACACAATCATCAGAGAAGTTGATAAAGGCCATTGGAAACCTTTCAAGTTATCTCGTAATAGATCCCCTCTATCACATTTATTTTTTTCTGATAATGTTCTTCTTTTTGTGAAGGTTTCACTACTATAAAAAATACATATAACAACGATTGTGAAAAACTTATAATCACAATTTATGATCCATTGCAAGTGGGTTATTTACAATCACGAGCTATTTCCCGTGGTAGTAAACTAGATAGCACGCTATATACAACCACAATTGTATTAAACAACCACTATTGTGTGTCTTTTAATAAAATAAAAAATACATCAGTAGAACAACAACAACAATAAGAACAACAACAACAACAATAATTATGACAATAACAAGAAGAACAACAAGAACAACAACAACAACAACAACAACAACAACAACAACAACAACAAAAAAAGAAAGAAGAACAACAAGAAGAACAACAAGAACAACCATAAGAACAACAACAACAACTACAACAACAACGACAAGAACAAGAACAAGAATAAAATAAATAAATAAATAAAACCGTTAAATATTAAATCTCAACAACAACATAAACAAAATCAATAAAATTGTTAAAAATTAAATCTACAATAGCAATATTAAACATTTTACCTATCTTTCAAGTTAAATTCATGTTTTTCTTGTCTCGTTCAAGTTGGAGAAGAGATGATGGAGTTTTGAAATTTGTTAATGAAATAAATGATATTTTTGAGTTTCATTTATGGAAGAAATTGTGTTTTCAAGCTTGGTTAATGGATAAATAAAGTCTCATAAACGGAAGATGACGTTTGGAGGTAGAAGATGAAGTTCGTCTAACTTTGTCTAGGAAAAAAAGAATGAACAAAGAGTGTGATATATATATTGGAAAAATAAATCTGGGTAACTTTTCACCATGGTGAGAATTCCAACCGTTGTGAAAAGTGGCTTAAGACTAAATAAAAAATAAATTTTAGGTGCTATGATTCGAACCGACGACCCTGAGTGACTTTTCACCATGGTTGGAAGTTCTAATCGTGGTAAAAAGTGGTTTAAAAATAAATAAAAACAAAAGTGTAGGTGCTAGGATTTGAACTCATGACCACGCACCACTTATCACCATGGTTGAAAGTTCCAACTGTGGTAAAAATTACTTAAAAATAAATAAAAATAAAACAGTAGGTGCTACTTTTCACCACGCATTGAAATTTCAACCATGGTGAAAAGTGGCTTAAAAATAAAAATAAAATGAAAATTCCTAATTGAATAGATTCTACCAGAGTGGATACTTTGGCCGAGGTAAAATGATGTTACGAAAGATACTTTTTTGTAGTAGTGTTTATAACCCCCAGGAAGGGACCATTTCTGATACTTTGAATTGTTTTGCAATGTTTTCTAACCTTAAAGTAAATGTTTCTAAATCAAAGACATTCTTCTCCGCTACCACTAAGAGGAGTAAAATGGATTTAGTTGTATATAACATAGGTATAAAGCAAACTTTTACTCTATAAAAATACTTGAGTTTCTTTATGTTGCATGATCATATTCAATGCAAGGACTTTGAGTTCCTATAAGAGAAAATTAGTTAGAGGTTATCATCTTGGAAACATAAGTTGTTAAACAAGGTTGGTCATTTGATTCTGGTTAAGTCTGTCCTGAACTCCATTCTAAATTATTACTGGCAAGAGGCTTGGATACCTCATCCAACTTGTGATTTTATTGATAGGATGACTAGGAATTTTTTATGGAAAGCTAATTTAAACTCGGATGTGCATCTCACTGGCTGGAGTAAAATCACAAAGCCCAAAAGCTAAGTGATATTGGAATCCAAAAAGGCAAATACCTTTATGTTGGGTAAGCTGGTTTGGGACCTCCATCGGGATTGCGATTCCATATGTGTCCAAATTTTGAAGCATAAGCACATCAGTGAGAAAATGTTCCTCGATATGAGAAAGAAATCGAGATCCGTTACTTGGAATGCAATTATGAAAGTTCACTCATCTCTTCAAGATGAATTTGAATTTAGATTGGGGGATAAGAACTCCTCTTTCTGGTTTTCCAATTGCTCTGGGGTAGAGAAATTAGCCGAGCATGTTCTCTGTGTGGATATCAACGATATGGAAATTCGAGTGAGTGATGTTTACTTGGATGGAAATTAGAATTTCAACTCATTATATACTAATATTCTTGTAGTTAATTGTGATCGCCTAAAAGCGCTTCCCATTTGTTTGAATTCTCTGGTTCCTGATTAATTAACATGGAAAGACAATTTATACAATATTTATACTGCTCGGGATTATAACTGGCTTGAATTTATTCAGAATACAAAATAAAATAACTCTTGAAAGTGAGTGTGACATACTCCTGCTCTTGAGAAGGTGAAATTCTTCCTTTGGACGACTTTACATGAGCCCTTCCTTCAAGATCAATGTCGTGTCATTGTGATATGCTCTAGATGAATCTTTGTCCTAGATGCAATTATGACACCAAGACAACTCTACACTGCTTAAGAGACTGAAAATTTGCTATTCGCTATTGAAAATCTATTGGCTTCTTAGAAAAGCGAATAACAAATATTTTATATTTTTAAAAAGGAGAATACTTGTGTTAACTACCTAGTAAAATATGAAACTGATAATGATGATCTTTTGTGAAACTTCTTCATGGTCTCCTCTTAGATAATGTTAATAGAACTTTAATTTTTTAGATAATTTTATGCTTTGTTTTTTTTCCTGTCTTTTTCCATTGTACTAAAAAACCAAATTTTTTAATATAACTGAAAACAAATTCACAATATAATTTAATTTCTTTCTATTACTCTGTTTTTTAACATAAAATATGGATATTGCAAAAACAAATTTTGATTGTAATCCAAAACATTTTCTTTCCTAAAAATCACGAACAAATAAACATATAGTAGATAGTAGTACCTAGACAAAGATGTGAAAATTGTTACAAACATAACAAAAAACTATGATATAACAATGCTTAAGCAGTGAACAGAATCATGAGACTTGATCAAGTTCCTACAAGTAGGACAAGAAGAATGAGAAAGCAACCACTTATCAATACAAACAACATGAAAACGATGATTACACTTTGGTAACATCTTCATATTATCACCATCACAAAACTCAGCTAAGCAAATAGCACAATTAGAATCCAAAGTTTGAGGAGTTGATCCACCTGAATGAGTATTATAAACTGATGTTGGCAAAGCAACTCTATCTTTCTTCTTGAGTCCGGAATTGCGCCTTCGAGAAGCGATCCATTGAAGAGGTTCGGTAAGAACACGGTTCGCGCATTGGAACACACATTGTAGCATTGTGTTGAGGCCAAGAGCACATAGTAAAGCACATACTATAGCTGCTATAAGAACCATTGAGTTGAGACTATGTTGTTGTGGAGGATTGTTACATGGTTTGCTTGGTGTAGGACTGATTGTTGGAGTTTGTGTGTGAATTTCAGCCATGAGTATGGTAGCTAGTTTGATGAAGTTGTGTTGAAATTTTGTACATAAGTTCAAGTATGAATACTTTTATTTTTTATTTGTATTAGAAAATAGGCCTAGAAAATAAAGAGAGGATGAGATATTAATTAGTGGGATAAGGGACATGGAAAATTATGCTTACTTGGTATTCCACTTTCTTCTGTCTATATATGCACTTCAAATGAGTGTAAAAAAGCATATGATATTTGTATACTTTGCACTCTTTTATCTATTTTATGTTTGAAATATTAAGAATATGGATATGTATCAGGACTCATTTATCATTCATGTTCATGTTTAATCTCATCAATTGTTTTTGTTTCTTGTCACGTCTGTTTTCTTTTTTAAACGATACAACAATAATAGTTTTCTGTAAAAAGTTTAACACCAACAAACCAAAAAAGCATAACATCTTTTAACTAAGAGGGCTACAAGATTTTACAAATTTCTCAAGGTTTTATTTGGGAGTTATTTTTTTTTTTTGGTATTAGCCAAGCGTATCCTCTGCGCGCAATTATAGAGACTAATCTCTCGAGTCTTGTAGAATTATATAGGCGGGTCAACTCTCTCTAAAGAGATTTAACACTACTACATTTTTAAAACAGGGATCGAACTCAGAACTTCTAGTTAAATATAGAACATTTTTTAATATTATTTTTTTAAAATATTTTGTTTAAAATGATAAAATAATACTTATCATTAATATATTTTTAATTTTTAAAATACTATAACAACAAAAAATTTATTTAAACAATTTGTCTAAGTCCTTCCGGATCCTCCTTCAATATAAATTTAGAGTTCATCAAAATTTGAAGTTTCTTAATAATCCTAAACAAATTATTCAGTAATTATTTATAATAAATTATAATAATATCTTTTCTATATTTGCATAGTCTAATACACCTCTTAATTGAAACGGGAGGTGGGCGGATGTTGAGACTATTTTTAAAGTCGTAAAAAAGTTGTAGCAGAAGGCGTTTCGTGAAGATATCGACAATTTGATAACAAGAGAGAACATGTAATATGCGCACTTGACTGCAAGTAACTTTTTCTCGTACAAAGTATATATCTATTTCAATGTGTTTGGTGTGTTGATGTTAAACTGAATTGTCGTAATGTACATAGCACTGACATTGTCACAATAAACTAATGTTGCTTTTGTAACAGGACAATGTAGTTCTAAAAGTAGATTTTGAACCCAGCATGATTCAGACACTACATTAGCCACTCCTCGGTGTTCGGCCTCTGCACTAGATCGAGATAAGATATGTTGATGTTTTGCAGGCCAGGGCAACATATTATCATCAAGATACATACAATGCCCATACGTAGACCTTCTTCTATCTAGACAACCTGGACAACCAACCCAATCAGCGTCCGTGTAAGATACAAGCTTTTCGATGGAGGAAGAATACACATGGATGCCAAATTTAATAGTTCCATGAATATAATGAATGGTCTATTTTAAGGAAGACATATGTTGTGTTTTTGACTCATGCATAAAGAGGCACACTTGCTGAACTGCATACGATATATTTGGTCTTGTAAATTTCAAGTATTATAATGCATCTGCAAGACTTCGATATTCTGTTATATCATGATAGGGATTACCTGAGGACCCGTTGAGTTTTGATTTGGTATCTACTGATGTTGGGACTGGATTTCAAGAGGACATTTATGCACGTCCAATAATCTCTTCTTCATATTTTTCTGAGAGAGAAAAATACCCCCTGAATGTCAAGTAATAGAGATGCCTAGAAAATAACACATAGGACTCCTTCATTGCAAATTCAGAAATTAACTTGGACATAATATACTCACAAAGAGAGTCGAATGAAACAATGATGATAATGTTATATACATATAGAAGAATGTAAGCCATGTAATTCCCATTATGATAAATAAATAGTGTGTGGTCAAAAATATTGTGGGAGAATCCCATTGTAGAGACATAATTAGTGAACCACTGATATCATACACGCGGTGCTTGTTTGAGTCCATAGAGAGAATTTATGAGTAAACACACATGGTCTGAGAATTGAGGATGACGAAACCCTGGAGGTTGTGCATGTACATGATTTCATCAAGATTGTGGTACAAGAAAGCATTTTTAACATCCATTTGATGAAGACACCATGATTTTGACAAGGCAACATTGAGCGTTGTGTGAATAGTAGTCGGTTTGACTACGGGGCTGAAGGTTTCACCATAATCAATGTTTGTTTGTTGATTTGCTCCATTATCTATAAGGCGAGCTTTGTATCGCTCAAATGATCCATCTGAATTGTTTTTATGCCTCAAAATCTACAAACTTTGAATACTATTAGCATTTGTTGGACGAGGAACTAAATCTCACGTCTTATTTTCAATAAGAGCATCATATTCGTCTTTCATGGACATTTCCAGTTAGGGTCATGTAATGCATCTATAGAGTTTGTGTGTAAGGGAGAAATGAAATTTCGAGATGAAGTATGTAGGTTAAAAATCTTGTGAGGTTTGACTATACCATTTTGCGCTCGGTTAGTCATTTGAGGTGAGAATTATGGTAATATTGGTGAAGGCGAAGGTGTGGGCGTCAATGTAGTAGCAGAGGTTTGATGTTTGTCGTGACTTGAAGGAGAAAGAGATATATGTGCAGAAAAAGAAGTCGATGGGGAAGATTGGTTGGGATTGGGCGTAAATGAAGGTGGTTTGAGGTTGATGTTTGTGAATTGTTAGATTGAAGGTTAGTTGGAGTTGAAGTATTTGGTGTAGGGGTTCTATAGTAGTAGGAAGGAAGGAAAGGTGTGGATTCATTATCTATAAAAATATAGTCAACTATGTTAGGAGTATTTAAGATAGAAAAGAGAAACATATTTTCTTCAAATATGACATGCTTAGAAATAAAGATCTTACAATTGGAGAAATCATACCACTTATATCCATTATGATTAGTTGGAAAACCTAAGAATACACATGGTGTTGACCAATGTTATAATTTATTTCTAGAGGTTGATGGAATTATAGGATAGCATAGACACCCAAAAACTCAAATATGTGAATAAGAAATATTTTTTTGGTAGAGTATCTTAGTGGGTGAATGACGGGAAATCTTTTTGGTCGGGAGGATGTTATGTAATTATGTTTCCATTTGCAAGACATGGTTCTAAAAGGATGGTGAGATAGAGGTATGGGCTATAAGGATGTGGGCGGTGTTATTTATAATACATATTTTTCTTTCAGCTTTTCCGTTTTAAAGAGAAGTATGGAAACATGCGAACCTAAAAGACATACCATTGAGTTCAAAGTTTTTTTGAAAGAGAGCATTGTCATATTCTTTCCCATTATCACATTGAAAAAAAATTGATTTCTCGTTCAAATTGGGTTTTAATGTGAATGTGAAATTGAAGAAACATAAATGAACTTGAGATTTCTTTTTTAAAGGAAAAGTCCAGAGAAAATTCATGAAATCATATAAAAATAGAACATAAAAATGGTGTCCCCATGAACTAAGAGTAGGTGATGTCCAAACAATACTATGGACAATATCAAAAGACATTAAAGTTTTTTGGTGTAGGGAATTTAAAACATTCGCTCTTGAGTGTACTAAATGATTTCGTAGTAGTGAAAAGTTGATATTAAGCCATTGATTGACTTAACTCACAAAGTGAAAGTCTCAACCACACTTTATTATTTCCAAAGGAAATGGGAAAAGAGCAAATAAAACCAAAAAAAGAATAGAGATCAAGGTACGGGGGTCAGTTATGCAAAGAGAAGGTATTAGCACCCTAAACATTCGTTGCACTCAATGGGATCCACTATGTTTGTTCTAATCAAAGGGTGAGTTATCTAAAGCTTAAAATTTCTAAAGGAATACATGAATGAATTCTTAATGAATAAAAAGAAAGTTTTTTTATTATTGTGTTCGCCCGAATTTTGCAACTCAGTGCCTACGTATCCCGTGAAGGAATCAGAATACCATAGTTCTTCTTAAAAAATTTGGTTTGTTGTATATTTTTTAAGTGAATGATGTTAAATTTCACATTCTACTGCAGCTCGACCTTTGGAGACTCGTGCATTTGTCGTAGAAAGGAATTAACATGTTCTTTATGAAAATATTTTTAAAAGAAAAAGCCCAAAGGCAAAAAAAGTTTGAATTGGTTGAGTATTTTTGTTGGGATAATAGCAAATGGATCACAATGGAGGGACACTTTCTACTTCTCCGCTTATTTGTGAAAAATATTTTGAATTGGATCATACTAAAGACTATGAATGAAAGAAAGAACAAGGTTCATAATGTACCGCCTCATCCTTTTCTCACCACTTAAGGCTCGTGACATATGATCCACATCTTTATTGTTAAGTGTTTTGAGATTTTTGATAAAGAAAAAAATAAGTTTTAGTTTTAAATGCAATGTAAAAGGGAAAATAAAATATAAGGGGAAACTCAAGTCCCAGTGATATCATGCAATATGGTCTTAGAGTTAGGATATCAAAGGGAAAACTAACTAAGAGTTATCATGCATCATGGATCTAAAGTTAAGTATTAAGGGACTTATACCTAATGTTATCATGCTTGGTTTAGAACCTAAGGTCTATTTGTAACACCCCAATTCTACCCCAAGCAAATTATGCAAAATAAATCAGAGTTATGAAATTTCAATCATACAAATGAATCGAGACGTCACAAATTCTTCTAATGAATTCATTGCATTCATCATGGATATATAACACTTTTTCAAAACATCGGATGAACCATCAACATAACATCTTTCATTAAATAATTCAACAACTACGCTGCAGAATTCTTCAATAACATCCCTAAATGAAACAGCAACTTCGAAACATCTCGTAATTAATAATAATTCAATTTTAAAGTCAACAACTAAAAATCAATAATCAAAAATCAGCAAGCGTTCATCCCCCCTAGTGTTACATATCAGAGCAATGACACTGACTCGAACTATTGAAGGTATACAACCTTCACTCTCGATTACCTGCAC